ATATATATGTATATGTATATATATGTCACAATAAAACTATTAATGTTAATTAATATATGATAGATAATTAAAAAGTTACTGTTTTTTTTTTCAAACAGCTGGACTTCTAACAAGGGACTGGAGGATACGTGAAAGAAAGAAGCCCGGTCAAGAAGGTGCTAGAAGAAAGTTCGCTTGGAGAAGACGTTAACTCTTATTATCATATAATTTTCACATTGCACGCATTAAAATTATATGAAACGGCGCCATAGAAAAATATCTCGTCATACAATAAAATTTATTCAAAAAAATAAAGCTAGTTATTTGATATCGAATAAGAAAGTAGAGAGAGATGCATAATTTTCCTACTCAAGGTCTTACCAAAAAAGCAGGATAATGTGCAGCAATTTCACATCTCTTTTAAGAGTACACACATACATTTGCCTTCACATTTCTTCCAAGGGTATTAGACCAAGTAATTTCATACCTTGTGCAAGAACATTTCTAGCAACATGAAAAAGCAGCAGCCTTTGACTAGCAACATCAGGCAATTCATCCTTTACTCTTAATGAATTAAAAGCTTTATTAATTGCATTACTAAAAAAGAAAGAGAACTTGTGCATATTTCTGTATATATTGTACATAGTTAGATAATTGTGAAAAATGTTTAAGTCTTGGAGTTTGTATTTCATACCTTAGATTGAAAAGATATACCGTTAATATACAGGGTTCTAATTTTTCATATGATTTCAGCACTACTTCTTCAAACTTAGCAATTAATATGACCAATTCATCAACTACTTCTTCTTGTAATAGACTTGGTTCACATTTCGAAGTTAAGACAGCGCCACAATTGCGTTCCAAGCTTCCTAATCGACAATGTGTATATTGTAATTTCACACCTGTGTCTCCTTTCAACTGACCTTACAAAAAAGATAAGAACAAAAATTAATCAATACGCATATAAAATCACATAATTTTTTCCTTACGATAATATATAGATCACTTACATCAAATGCTGCATTCCAATCAAACGTATAATCTCGTTCTCGTTTTCTTTTTAAATCATTAATTATCATTGCGGAAATGCCTAATATATCCGAGCTGTTATCAGATGAATCTAGACGAACTTTAGTAGCTGAAAAAGTTTTTCTGTTATAAAACTAATTCTATATAAACTTAGATATTACGTAATATTAAAATTAACATACTATGTGAGTCCATTTGTTTCTGCTTTATGATACCTCTGGCAGTATCCAAGATATCTTCTAAAAATATGACATTTCCCTTTCTCGTACGCATACCGTGCAATCGGCCAAATTTTATATGTTTCAGTCTTTCAGCCCACGGCATTTGCATTTGTTTTAATATTTCTAACAAATTTGAGAAATGATTTACTTGTGTATTATCCACCACATAGTACATACAGTCAAAATCATTCTTTTCAAATCTATCAATAGCTGCGGCGATATCTCTAGCTATGTACAAAGTGGAGCCATCGCTCTTAATTATAGGAACGCTTTTCTCATTGCTCAGATTCACAACTTTTCTATTTTGCTCGTCCCTTATTAGTAATTGCATTTTTTCCATTAACGTAACTATTTTCTTGATATTTTTGGCATTGTACATAGATTCCCAATGATATTCGTCAAATGTAACACCAATTCTGCTGTAAACCCTTTTTAATTCCTCAACGGTATACTGTTTAAATATGTTCCACTGTTCATGTGCAACTTCTACACCACTTTCCAAATCATTAAATATTTTTCTCGCACGATCCGATACAGAAGAATCAGTTTCAGCTAATTTGTTGGCACTAACATATGCTGTGTATAAGGCTTTTATAGGATTTCTTTTCATTTCATCCTCATTAGTACCTGTTATATCGATTCCTAATTGAAGTAAGCCATATTGTGTACCCCAGTCACCCAAATAATTTATTTTTTTCACCTTATTGTTTACAAAACTATTGATGTTAGCAACATAATTTCCTATTATTGTAGATCTCAAATGTCCTACATGAAAAGGTTTTGCAATATTAGGTGAACTAAATTCTACTATTATATTTTTTTTATTATTCACAAAGATTGGAGCCGATACTGATGAACAGTTGTGTTCCAAAAGTTCTTTAACACATCTATCTCTGGAAATATTAAAAGAGATAGCATTATTTTTTATATTAATGTTGTCGAAAATACTATTTGGCTCATTATTTATGATATTCTGTGTTTCTTTCTGTATATTATATTGTTTAGTTTTCAATGGAAGTAGGAAAGAATAGATTCTTTCTGTTTTACATGTTTTCAAATGCAAATAAGATGCAACATTGGATATATTTATATTGTTACCATTTGGTAAAGATTCTGTAATCTAGAAACAAAAATATAATTTACAGATAAATAATAAAATAAATTCCAAATCCTTGAACATTTTATTACTTTGGAAAAAAATACCTTTTTTAAAATTGCAGTTTTCATATTATTACTCATGTTTAACTATTTAAAAGTAATGTGAATAATTATCTGGTTATTTATAAAAGTTATGAAAGAATGATACTAATTATGAAGGAATAATTTTTTTTATAGTAAGATAACACACACAAGCCAATAATACCAATTAACGTTAATTCAACGTTTCATACAAGCAATGTTAAATAAAAAAATAAAAAAGTTTCTGATTATAATTATAGGTTAGAATTGAACGCTCCAAAATAATATTACTGATAGATGTCGCTAATGTGGTCTGAACTGAAATATAACTAGAATTTTGTCGAAAGGTTGGCAATCTTTGTTAATAATTTTAAAATACAGTGTGCATACACAAATTACAGAACACAGATAAAAATAAGAATATCAGTAAAATTACTCAAAATATATTTTGTATTTAATAAATAATTATTACAAATGGTCATGTATGTTATATTTCCCTTTAAAATAAAAATTTCCATTAACTTCATTTAATAAAACACAATCGCGCACGTGATTTACAGAAAATTATTATTATTAATTAATAAATACGGAAGGGTAATATAAACTAATAAAATTGTTATCAAAGGCATTAAAAAAATACGTATTCATTACCTAATAATAAGTTTCAATTTTCTAAAATTATATTAACAATTCATGTATTTTTTAGAATACAATACAATCCTTGCAGCGAATAAATTTATTAGGCGAGGATATAGTTCCTAGCAATAATTATCTTAAATAAAAAAAATTATTATTTGTATCACTTGAAATATCACTTATTTTTATATATATTTTAACTTTAAAAGATAAGAAAATTAATTTATTAATATAATATCAATTACATTCCCATGTATGTACTGTTATCAAATATATTCAACCTAAGTAATAACATATAATAATTAAAACTATTGTTCATATTTAAATAAATACATACATATATGTGTATATATTTTATATATACATGTAAAATGATATTATATTCATAATATTATTAATAATTACAACAATGTCATGGCTTATTTTGAGCTATAATTAAATTAACTTTAAATTAATATAATCAACAAATGTTTCGGCTTACAAAGCCTTCTTCAGTGTTAAAAAGTTCAGAAATATAATCTCAAATTAACGAACTGAATAAATAACAAACAATGAAAATTTAAAAAACCATCTGTAGTAAAGTGTCAATATATAAAGAATTCAGCACTCTTTCCAACGAATAGATGTATTTTGAGATGCAGAAGCTGCTATTTTTTACGCAGCGACACTGCGTACAGCGTATGGGAAATAAACAGAACTGCAGCGTGTAATAACGATGGCACAACCATATCGTCGAACAAGAAGACCAAGAAGGAAGATCCAGGCTCGGGCGAGGGGAACGCCCGCGGGATTACGACGTCGAGATATGGAAGATCCTCGAAGAGATCGACGGCTCTCAGAATCAAATCGATGGCCTGAAAAATAACAAGCTGCGCAAGCCCTACTTCCAGAAGCTTAACATCATTAAGAGGATATCCAACTTCTGGGTCACCGCTTTTGTAAACAACAAAAGAAATAGCAGAAATATTAGAAGACGAGGAAGCACTGAGATTCTTAAACAAATTAGAAGTTGAAGAATTCGAAGATATCAAATCTGGCTATAGGATTAATTGTTTGATAAGAATCCATCAAAAACGATGTTTTAACTAAGGAATTTCATCTAGGATCTTCTGCATCTCAAAATACATCTATTCGTTGGAAAGAGGGTGCTGAATTCTTTATATATTGACACTTTACCACAGATGGTTTTTTAAATTTTCATTGTATTCATTATTTATTCAGTTTGTTAATTTAAGATTATATTTGTGCGTTTTAACACTGAAAAAGGCTTTGTAAGCCAAATGTTGATTATATTAATTTAAAGTTAATTTAATTATAGCTCAAAATAAGCCATTGATATTGTTGTAATTTTTTAAGAAAATATACATTTTTACTCTAATTATTAATCATGTTAATATATTACGAAAATGAGTGTTTATTATACACATATATATATATTATTTTCACGCTGTAGAAACTTTATAGCTACAAATCTGAAATCTATGTTATGTCAATAATTCGTACATGTTAAAGTACTAATCCAAGGAATGAATTACTCTAATACACTGTTATATATAATATAAAAAAATAATACAAAAAATATCGTGTATGTGCAGACACTCGTTTGTATGTAATACACTCGTTTCGTATATGATCTTAAACTTCGTGATCGATTAAATATGCGTCCTTTCTAAAAGAGTAACGCGGCGGATTGTGGCAAGGTAGTAGCCAAAATATTGGATGGCTCTTTCCACACACTTGAGACAACAGCGTAAATGTTCGTGGTGTATTTTTGTGATAGCGTTGCTGTATACCTTGGACGCGCTCCACGGCAGTTTCATCGCCTAGAATCGCTTGGAATTGATCAATTAGAATCGCTATGACGAACATACCAAATAATCCCGACTCCAAAACTAATGTTACACAATGTAAACTGTAACAGATATTCACCATTAGTATTTCAGTTATCATAAATTTCTCATGAGAATGTAAATACATACATGCGATTTTGTTTGACTGCAATATCGTTATTGCACTGTGGGCAGTCATAAATCCAGGACGTAATGACTAAAATAATAGCGTAGATAGCTAATGCACCAACGTACACTAGAAACTGTATGAAGTACTTTTGATTCCTCTCGCCGACGCAGTTATTGATCCTTAAATAAGAAAGTTAAGGCTTTAATAAATCCAAATGAATGGAACATTCATCATTTAAATACAATAAGATTAATTTAAAAAATAAATTAGTTATATTAATTTCTTAATATATTACTATTGTTTTCCATACAGCTCATATAGTTACCATGGACAATGATGATCCATTTTTCTGATACAACGTTTACAAATTCTACAATGATGTGCTCTAGGTGGTCTATATGTTTCACATCTAGTACACACTGTCCAATCGTCCTTCTCATCACTCTCATGATCGTCGCTGCCTCCAGAGACATGAATATCGGAAAAGTCCATTCTACTTTGTGGTAAGGGTACTATACCCGGATCACTGCAGACGGCTTTCAAATGTGCCATCAAAAGAAGAAGTACAACAGTATTAAATGCTATTATATGGAACGGACACCATAAGCTGGGAACAAGAAGATAATATTGCTAAATATATTTTTCAAGAAGAAAGTCTAATAAATAAAGAAAGACTGTAACAAAAAAATAAATGTGAGATGTCACGTAAAATGTGAAAAACTCGAATATTAATAACTTAATGTTAATAACTTAATGTCGATAATTCTTGTTGACAAACGTGTGTTATACGAACCTGTCTTGCATAGTGTGTAACACGATCCATCGTACCACAACGTAGTCAGCGTAGAATACCGCCACATAGGTGACGATAATGCATACAATGCCACAGGGATCTCGGACAAACATTTTTTATTTTCGCAAACGGCACGCAGCGATTAATATCGCAGTTCTTCATCGCTGTGCGCACAAGTGTCATGTCATCTGCTTTCGGGATGACCACATTATTAATCGTTCAGGATTTTTTTGATATTGTCAGTAGGTATCCGTTGTGACGCCGATCGACGAGTTAATGCATAATCCGTGCAGAACCGTCGTGTTGACTTGATTTGACGAGCTTGACGTTTAGAGAGAAAGTTTTGACGGAAGTGTGGTGGGATGCTTGGATCTTGGCCTTTTTACTGGCAACGATCTCCGATCGTTCAGGAAAAAGAAATTCTTCCTTTTTTTAATCCTCTTTCTTGGAATTCCAATCTACCGAGAAATGAAATTAATTGGAAAGTGAAGTAGTAGAGGCCGATCTGTCAAACGGCACTACTGATTTCACTGGCAAGTAGCGGTGGCGGCAGCAAATACGTAGTCTGATACGGGCTTTAATCTCTAATGTGTAATCTGATACGAGCTTTAGTGCAAAGTCATACGAAAGTAAAAAAAAAAAGAGCAAAGTGACAAATTTGGTCGCTCGAATTACACTGAATTAGTATATATTAAAAAAGTTACTTTGTAAAATAAATGCAGTGATATAATACAATCAACTTATTGTACATATATGTATATATATATATATATATATAACAATATATTGTAATCATTTAAAATATTTATATACTTTTACATTTAACTTTTCCAATTTCATGTCAAGCAACTGTCAGTATACACTAATCTAGAGCAGTGATTGAATTTGCTATAATTTGGATACTTTCCAGCAAAAGACAGACGACACAGATTGCTTTCTATTTAGGAGACAATAAACATCATTCTATCCTTGATATTCAATGAATAACAAAGCTAGAACGACACTTGTGTCTTCTGCTGGAAAGTATCATTTATAAATTTGTCATTATTGTAAAAATATAACTCTCTCGAATCACCGACTCAATCCCCTCGACTATATTGGTCGAAAAAAATCGGACGAATCCAATTTGTGCCATGAGACGGATTTGGTTTATGTTGTTTTTTTTTTTTTTTCTGTACCTATAGCACATTTCTGAAGTCCTGGAAGTTTTCCTAGCCGATAACCAATCGTATGACGTTGTATCTGCGGGTATGCATTTTCATTGGAAAGCATTCTACGCGCATATTCGCGATATCCAATCGTGTGGTAAGTACCAACCACGTGGTAATTTGTGAGCGCGACATTGGTATCCCGTAATGACGCAAGCTCTTAGCCCCGCAAGCCTATCAAATCCTTCAGGATCGCGCTGGTGACTTTCGGTCGTCCGACGGTCCTCTTGTCTCATTTCACTTTGCGTCACCGGTAAGGAGAGTTGTGTGTCTCGCGGTAATGGGGCGATAATTTCGCTCCACGTTAATTTAATTAGATCTCGTGGCCCAAAGTGCGCCGCTCGCTCCACGTAACCGACGTTGTACTGTTTCAGGCAAATCACCGTTAAACTGGCTACGTAATAGGCATTTATTACTTGGCCGGATTTCTTTATTACGGTAGAGTAAGTAGCAACTTGAAGACCCTCTGCTGTCCGTGTTGTGTGCGGAGAAGAGAGCGTGCGTGTCTTCTTTCCTTGCCTTGCCATCCTTCCCGGTGCCGCTTGGGCCGTTTCTCGTTCTTGGCACCAAGTGCCAAGTTTTCCATTCCGTCCCTTCGTCTTTTCCCTTCGTCTCGCATTCTCTCCCGCGATCGGCCCTTCTCGCCACAACGTGCAGATGTTGAGCCCCCGACACGAGAGGTTAGCGATCTCGTGACGTGTCAAGTTAACACTCCATTCCATATGGTGGTCTCAGGTCTCAGCCATTGGTCATTGACGTGCACTTGGCGTACATCTGTTTGTCGATTCCCGGCCACGATGCTCCTCCGGGTTGCAAAATTCTGTCTTTCAGCTTTGGAAAAGATATCGTCCTTTTAGCTACGCACGCCTCGCGCGGCACAAGTCGCGCGCGATATCTATCGTTTCCGCAAAAATCCGGGTCGCCTTGAAAGAATTTATGCCGAATGCGAGAAAAAATATACTGTTACGAAATAATATCGCGATTCGATCGACTTTTGTGAAAATGCCCGGGTACGTCCCCTCGCGATTATTCGGGTTATCCAGAAAAAAATGTATCATCGATATTGACTGTCGACGTCCCAGCAGATAATTTATCTTTTTCGCCGCAGAGTTAAGATTTAATAAAGTATCGCCGTGTAATAAGTAGTATAATCTGGAATTTAAGTAAAATGAAATTTTTATGTAAATAATGTGTGCATTATTGTATGTGCAAATGTAGGCGTTATCAAGGTGTTCCCTGTATTTTTTTTTT